CAGGTAATTATTCTGTTCTGGTCTCCATGTGGCCCCATGTCCAGAATTAACTGTAGTGCCTTAAGACTATGCTTTACTCTCCTTCAGTTTTATTAACTCCGTGGCTATAGAAGTTATGTTTTAAATAACTCTGTATACCTAGATTCTAATAAAGTAATTAACATATTATCAATGCCAAAAGACATAGATTAAACAGATGGAGTAGAAATACTTTCAGCATAAAAATGATCACATAGGCAGTGCATATGTTACCGTCTTTATATACTAGAAAAAATAATTTTGTTCACTAGAATATCTACTTTGAGACCTTCAAATTGGATGACGGGAATGTCATAGGCAGTACGGCTGTGAGGGTCCATTTTCATTGTCAACTTCTCTAGACTTGGAATCATCTAGGAGATACACTTCTGGATGAGTCTTTGAGCTTCTCCAGAGAGACTTAACTAGGGTGGGAAGACCCACTCCTATGGACTAGAGTTGAAGACTGAATAAAAAGGGAAAAGGAAACTGAGGACCAGTATTCGTTTCTCTCTGCTTCCTGGCTTCAGAAGTAAAAACCAGCTGCTTCACACATCTGTGCCTCAGCTTAGAGCCATTCACACTCCATTCTTCCCCTACATGATATGACAAAGTGTGCACCATTAAACTTTGAGCCAAAATAAACTTTTCTTCCTTAAATTGCTTTTGCCAAGTATTTTGTCACAGCAAGAAGAAAATCACTGATACAAGTCCCAAACTATGCTCAGAGAGCTGACACTTTTATTCATTAAGAGGGCAACTTTAGAAATGGGGCCTTAAATACTATAGAAACCAACTAGTCTTCTTGTTGTTGATGCTAGAGAGAAATGCTGACCTCCCTGTCCTGCAGTAGTTTGTTTTGTTCAGGGATTTGCAATACTTCCTTTATTTGTTTCTTTAGTCTCCTGTGAAAGAATGCCAGACAGAAACGCATGTATTAATTAAGAAAATATTTACTCTTTCTTCACTGCTAATCCTGGGTCAACTATTTAAATATTTGCATACTCATTGATTACAATGATGTACATAAAGGATCAAGTACTGTTCAAATAAAGCTTTATCTTTGGATCATGCAGGAGATTGATGCAGAAGCTTCTTGTGTTGGATCATTTTTACATTGGAATGGAAACTAGGGTATTTTTCCATATTGACCACTTTTCACTTGACTAGAAGTAACTCCTGTAGATGTAAAGTAATAACTAGACACACTTGGAAATTAAAAAATAAAAAGATCCAGGATGAATAAAAATGATTCACAGCAACAATAGTCTTCAAAGAATCTTCAAATTACATAACAATGGGAGAAAAATGATAAACAAGAAATAAGCCTATCACCTATAATGTGGGAAGAATGATATGGAAAATAAGAGATCATATTTTGAGTTAAACATGTTTTTCAAACACCCTCCACATTCCCTTACCCACACACCACTTCTCTTCTGAGAAATTAAAAAAGGTAAATGAGGCCAAAAGAAAAATGCTTCAGGCCTAGAAAATCAATTCAAGGCATGCAACCCTCAATTGGCATGCCTCCAGGTTTTGTCCCTGGCTGCTTTCTCTTCTCAAACTATGCTTTATCCTTGGCCAAGAAACTCAACCTCATAGATATGTCAATATTATGCCTACTAATCTCTCTCAGTCCTAATCTCTTTCCTGTGTTTTAGCATTCAATACCAACCCTCTGTATGTGCTTTAGCATGTACGACTATCAGTGCTGAGTGCAATCTATTTCAAATAAAGCAACCAGCCTTTATGAAAATCAGTAAAAGTTGGACTCATACCATCCAGGTAGTTTTTAATAACTTCAAAATTGGTTTAATTTTAAATTCAAGATATATCAGTGTAAAAATGAACCAAACTTTAGCAAAACCCCTCTAGACATTTTATCAACCAGACCTAACCTTGGCCTGTGAGACTAGCTCATTTCCAATACAAGCGACTTTATCTGACCCCATCACTGGGGAACAGAGAGACAACAGCATGATTTCCCACACATGATGTCTCAGTGATTGCCCAGCCCCTAAAACTACCACCTACCTCAAACTCCAAAGATACACTCTGACCTTAAACCACCTTGCCAAATTTTGTGTTTTCCATTTCCACAAATTGACTGAAACTCCCATTCCTCCTCCTTCTTATGTCTTTATTCTCCACTTGGACCTCCTGGTCCTGTCAGCTTTTTTTTTTTTTTTTTCCTTTTGGGACCATTAAAGGTACCCACTCCAAATTCTTGGATTCCCACAAATTTTATTTAATAAATGAAATGAAATAATTTTTATTTGGTTTTGTATATTTTATTTTTTATTGAAATTAGATTTTTTTCATACAATACATTCTGCTTATGGTTTTTCCTTTCTCCAGCTCCTCGAAGGTTCTCCCCACTGTCCCACCCACCCAAATCCACATGCTTTCTTTCTCTCTGTCATTAGAAAACAGTCATCTAAAAATAACAATAACAATAAAATTACAAGATAAGATAAAATAAGTAGAAAACAGAATAGGACAAAACAAACAAACAAAAAATGAGCCAATGAAAAATCACAAGAAACACATACAGATACTGACACACACACACACACACACACACACACACACACACACACACACACACGCATTCATATTCAGACAAACCAAAAAAAACAACATCAGAAACCATAATGGATGACCTAATGATATATAAAGTTAAAAAATGCCCTGACAAGCATTATGAGACCAAAAAACTTACAAAAATAACACTGAATTAATTTTTATGTTGACTATCTACTGCTGGCCATGGAGCCTGCCCTTTAGTGTAATTTACCTAACCAATGAAAGTCCATTGGAGAAAATTAATTTTTCTGTTGTGGGAAGTTACAAATTGGGGATAGTTTCTGGGTAACAGATGAGGTTTTTTTACTTATATCTCCTCTCAGCTATAAGAATGATCTTTAGGCAATGTCCTAAAATTTTTCTCCTCTGAAACCTCTTGAGCCAGGCCCCTACAGTTCCAATCACCTTTAGTACCACTGTCTTCCATGATCCTACTAGTATGGCCTATTAAGCCCCAATTAAAGTGTCTAACTGCTTTTCTAATCCAAACTACCAAAGGCCACATTCCTCCAAGCAAAATCATGGTCAGACCTATCATAATACCCTACTTCTGGTATCAATTTCTGTCTTAGTTAGGGTTTTATTGCAGTGAAGAGATACTATGACCACAGCAACTCCTATAAAGCAAAACATTTAATTTTGGCTGGCCTACATTTTCAGAGGTTTAGTCCATTGTCATCATGGTGGGACCCATGGCATGCAGGCAGACATGTTGCTGGAGAAGTACTGAGAATTCTATATCTGGATCCACAGAAAGCAGGAAGTGACTGCCACACTGGGTGTGGCTTGAGTATCTGAGACTTCAAAGCCTGCCCCCAGTGACTACTTCCTCTAACAAGGCTACACCTACTTCAATAAGGCCATACCTCTCCCTACTGGCCTATATGAACCATTTTCTTTCACACCACCACAATGAGTTTTCTTACTTTAAGAATATGTTTTGTTATGTTTAATCTTCTGAGAAAGACCTATAAAGTTCAAGGCAGCCTCAAATTCATGATCTTCTACCTCAGTCTTCTGAGTTCTGGGATTACAGTTCTATACTACAATTTCAGACTCAAATGTATATTTTATTAATGTATATTAATTATATAAATCAGTAACTACAATATAAAATGTCACTTCTTGGCCGGGCGGTGGTGGCGCACGCCTTTAATCCCAGCACTCGGGAGGCAGAGCCAGGCGGATCTCTGTGAGTTCGAGGCCAGCCTGGGCTACCAAGCGAGTCCCAGGAAAGGCGCAAAGCTACACAGAGAAACCCTGTCTCGAAAAACCAAAAAAAAAAAAGTCACTTCTTTTGCCTCACACCCAATCTATTTCCTAAATTAAAGACTTAGATCATTTATTTGCATACTTTCATTTAAAAATAAATGAAAAGCTATGATTGTGCCTCAAGGTATAATATTGACCTAATTTTAAGTTATATCTTACTATTCTAACTTGATTGCTGTTTTATACAGTGTCCAGTTTTGCAGTTCATTTTTTTGACGTAATATAATACAAGAAAAATGCAATTTCCCAGTAAAGTTCTTCTCACATTAAACCCTTTTTATCTCATCTTAAATGCATTTATTCTCTTTTTTTAATGTCATTGAGAATGTAACTTTTAATCTATAGTTTTTTTAGAAAGTATCTATAAATTAAGAATTTTTCACTCTTCTTCATAGAATAGAATTTATATATCTCAATTTAACAGGTGGAGTGATCCAAGATTTTGTAGGTTATGTTCTAAAGGTATGATAGTAAGTTCTAGAAATAGAGAGAATGTCAATCTTATCTGTTATTCTCCCACAAGCATCTTCCTACTCATCCTGTTATCCCAGACCCCAACTCATCAGAAATTCCTAGGGAACCCACCATCCAAGCCTGAGGACAAGCAAGTAGGACAGTGAAGCACATAGTGAGCTTCAGATCTTCACTCTTCATTCCTCCAAACTTAACTCCCCACCCCCAGTCTCATGCCCAACTCCGTATCCTACTACCTGTAAGTAGTCTCTCCTCAGTCTCTGCTCCCATACTCAGATGACTAAGAAGATCATGCACCCTCCAGCCCATCCCTATCCCTATGAAATCCCAATACGTGGATGCACATTTTATTCACACCTCTAATAACCAGACCTGGTAGTGACTCAGAAGCATTTCCCACCAGGCTACATGAAAGCTACCATAGCTTTCTAAGAACCAGAAAGAAACCAAGGAATAAAACATGCATCCAATGAGGGAGAAGGAAGGGAGAAAGAGGAGATCTTGAATTTTGTTTTCAGTCATTGCTCTCCAGAGGTGGAAAATAGCTATGGCGCCTGATCCAAGAGCAATACTTGAGTATTGGCTTGTGTGTTTCTGGAGAAGGAGTAAAATGGACTGTGTGGATCTCCTTCCTCCGCTGCTTCAAGCCAGGTGGAAAGGATTGTTGACAAAAGGAAAACAAGAAAGGAAAGACAGAGTATCTGGTGCCTTGGAAAGGCTATGAGAGCGAGGATGATACGTGGGAGCTGGAGCAGCACCTGGTGAACTGTGAGGACTACATCCATGACTTCAACCGGCGCCACAGCGAGAGGCAGAAGGAGGGTAGCCTGGCCCGTGCCAACAGAGCCTTCCCCAGCAACGTCTGGAAGCAGATCTCCAGGTCCACTCACAGCAACCTCCCCAAGACCACCCCCAAAGCACTTGTGGTAGGCAGAGATCATGAGTCCAAAAACAGCCAGCTGTTGGCTACCAGCCAGAAGTTCAGGAAAAACACAGCCCCGTCTCTTGCAAACCGCAAGAACATGGACCTCGCCAAGTCAGGGATCAAGATTCTCATGCCTAAGAGCCCTGTAAAGGGCAAGACCTCGGTGGACGGCTTTCAGGGGGAGAGCCCTGAGAAGCTGGACCCTGTGGAGCAGGGTCCCGAGGACACCACAGCACCAGAGGAGACTGCAGAGAAGCCCATTGGAGCTTTGCTGGGCCCTGGTGCCGAACGAGCCAGGATGGGGAGCAGGCCCGAATACATCCACAAGTGCCTCAGGTTTCTGGCCCTGTGACTGCTGCCATGGCCACGGACTTAGCTGTTAATGGAAAAGGTACATCTCAGTTCATGGATGCGCTAACTGCCAATGGAACAGCCACCATACAGACGTCTGTTACAGGAGTGACAGCCGGGAAAAGGAAATTTATTGACGACAGAAGAGACCAGCCTTTTGACAAGCGGTTGCGTTTCAGTGTGAGGCAGACAGAGAGTGCCTACAGATACAGAGATATTGTCGTCAGGAAGCAAGATGGCTTCACCCACATCTTGTTATCCACAAAATCATCAGAGAATAACTCATTAAACCCAGAGGTGATGAAAGAAGTCCAGAGTGCCCTGAGCACGGCTGCAGCCGACAACAGCAAGCTGGTGCTGTTCACCGCTGTGGGCAGTGTCTTCTGCTGTGGTCTGGACTTTATTTATTTCTCACGGACGACAGAAAGAGAGAAAGCACTAAGATGGCAGATGCTATCAGGAACTTCGTGAATACTTTCATTCAGTTTAAGAAGCCTATTATTGTAGCAGTTAATGGCCCAGCCATTGGACTAGGAGCATCCATATTGCCTCTTTGTGATGTGGTTTGGGCTAACGAAAAGGCTTGGTTTCAAATACCCTATACCACCTTCGGACAGAGTCCAGATGGCTGCTCTACTGTTACGTTTCCCAAGAGTATGGGAGGAGCGTCTGCAGATGAAATGCTGCTCAGTGGGAATAAGCTGCCGGCTCAGGAGGCATGTGGCAAGGGCCTGGTCTCCCAGGTGTTTTGGCGAGGGACCTTCACCCAGGAAGTCATGGTTCGCATCAGGGAGCTGGCCTCGTGTAACCCAGTTGTCCTGGAGGAATCCAAAGCCTTGGTCCGCTGTAACATGAAGGTGGAGCTGGAGCAGGCCAACGAGAGGGAATGTGAAGTGCTGAGGAAGATCTGGGGCTGTGCCCAGGGCATGGACTCCATGTTGAAGTATTTGCAGAGAAAAATTGATGAGTTTAGATTGGCCGACTGAGCAGGACATCAGTGGCTCCCCGTTGCCACAGTCATCCTCACCAGGAGCTCACGCTTGGAAGCAGGACTGGAAACATCCAAGCTATTTATTACCGAGGAGTTTTTAAGTACTGTAACTTTAAAATAACTACAAAGCTTCTTTGTCCAAATGTCATTATTTTATACCCATGTATACACAGTATAAAAATGTAATTGAGCACCAGGCTACTCTTAGAAGCTCTGATTTCCTTGGAAGCTAGTTGTGGGGTTTTTGTTGTGTTTTTTAAAGGAATTATGTTTTCATTTTTGGTGACAGAAGAGTTTGCAATAATGTTTGTTTTCCTCATTTAGTTTTGGTTTTTATTTTAAACCTAGATCACAGACCCTAAAGAGTGCAAGCCAGCCTCATCCCCCTCCCTCTACCTAAACAGATACAGAAATATCTGAAACGTGTCCCTGCACCTAGGAGGACAGGGGCAGGGGCAGTACAAGTACCTCAGTGCTGAAAAAAGTCTAATCAAAATTAAAACCAGTTTTGTAGGAAAAGCATCATTGATGGAAAATCCTACATGAACTATGGGTTCATGCTGAGATGACCACCAATTCTCCCTTTCTTAATGTGTTCCATTCTTACCCAGCTAACATGAAGCAATCAGTGTCTGTGGAGGAAATCGAATGGTTTAGTGTCCGTGAAGCCCTCCATAGCTTGAGTGCTACTTGCTAAGTTATGAATTAGCACTAGTGGGTTTAAATAGTTTTCCTGATTCTTTAAAAAAATAACTATGTAAGTGCTTCTTGTGGCTGGGTGAGAAATACTACTTTGCATAGTTTTGTTTGTCTATCTGCAGATATGATTGATGTATTACACCAAAAAGAGTATTTTTATGGTTATAAAGTGTAATTTTTAGGTTCACTTAGAATATATTTTATTTAATTTAAAATTCTCTTGGCACACTATTAAACACAGAAACTCCTTTCAAACCAGAAAAGAACTACCTTATATTGGACATTTATTGTTTGCGGTCTCTGCTTTGAAGTCTGCCGTATACTGTGCACAGTATTGTGTTCACGAGTACCCCGTGGAGTGGGGACTGATTCCTGACTACAGGCGCCTATGACTACTTAGGCTTCTGAGCTTGCAATCATATTGAATGTATGAAGATTGAAAGAAAATCGAAACCTTATTTTTGTACAGTTTTGAGTTTATACTCAGAACTGACACCTCCCAGCCGTGAGGAGCGCTGTGCAGTGTGTAAATCTGCCTTTACGGTGGATGGGTTGGTACAGTATTTTTGCATCTGTGGGACCTACTCTTTTGTTCAGTAGTTTGAACTATATATAAACTGTACAATCTGTAAAGTTTTTATAGAATAAATATTCAGCTGTGAAAACTGGTTAAATAAAACTAATATTTCTTAACAAAAAAAAAAAAAACATGCATCCAACAAAGACAAGACCAGATATAAACACCTATATTTATAATCATTCCACATCCAGATACCCAAATGCAGGCATAAAAACAAAATCAATAACAGCCAGAACAATGTCTCCACTAGAGCCCATCAACCCTTCTACAGTAGACCCTGAAATCTGCAACTAGTTGAAGCACAAGACAAATACCTTTATGATTATAATAGAGGTCCTTAAAGACAAAATGAATAAATCTCTTAAAGATATCCATGAAAGCTTAAAAAATAGTGGAGGGAAATAATAAAATAGTTCAGACCTGAAAGTAGAAATAAAGTCAATAAAGAATACCCAAACTAAGGGAAATCTGGCCACAAAAATTTTGAAGCTTGAACAGGAAACTCAGAGGCAAGCCTCACCAACATAATACAAGATATGGAAGAGAGAACCCCAGACATTGAAGGCAAGATAGTAGACACTGATACTTTGATCAAAGAAAATGTGAACTCTAAAACAAAAACAAATACAAAAATCTCAAAACAAACAAACAAAAAAATCTCCTGGCACAAAACATTAAGGAAGTTTGGGACACTATGAAAAGACCAAATCTATGAACAATAAGAATAAAGAAAAAAAAAAACTCAGTTCAAAGTCACAAACAGTATTTTCAACAAAATGGGTCCAAGAAGTAAGCTTGTATAGCCGTTTTAACAGCTGACAAAACAGACTTCAAACTAAGGCTAATCAAAAAAGATAGTGAAGAATACTACATACTCATGAAAGGGAAAATCCACCAAGAGGATATTACAATTCTTAACATCTATACACCAAACACAAGGGCACACAAATTCATACTTTTACAGTCTAAGTCATACAAAAAGTCAGTCTCCAATTCCCCACTCTCACCTATGGACAAGGCATCCAGAAAATAACTAAATCCCTCCTAATGGCATTCTTCTATACTCATAGATCAGTGGGTATGGGACATCATAAAACCACTTAACATAGGAATGGAGAATAGAGAAAAAGCTGAAGACATATCTAGAATGGAAAATTATAAAGGTATGCATTGAATGGACAAGAACTATGGCTCCCCATTCTCCATGAAAAAGAAATTTGAAATCAGAACTGTAGAAGGCATTGGCATATGAAATTCTAATAGCCACCCTCCTCTGTGATCTTACCTTTTATCCAAAGAAAGACCTTCTTCTTGCTCTAGCATTGGTACTACTTCTGAGACTGGTTTATTATTTTGTGTGTGCATCTTGTGTATTTATTTGCATTTCGATGTATGACTTTCTATATCTCTTTAGTATGTATATGGAGTGTTCAACTTATTACAGGAAGTGCCAGTAAACATGCACAGCATTCATGCCATGTGACACACTTCCTAGTGGTCTGAATAAGAAACATCCCAGGTTGAACACATGCTCCTTAATTGGTGGCACCATTTGGAGGGGAGGCAGGTATGGAACCTATAGATGGTGCAGCCTTGCTGTAGGAAGTAGATCACTGGGGTCTCTGTTCCTTGTGTGCTGCTGAGATGTCATCTCTCCGTTTCCTACTTCAGCTTTGTACTGTTGTGCCCTAGTCACTATTATGAACACTCCTCTGGGAACCGTAAACCAAAATAAACTCATCCTTTTATAAGAAGTTTCACACAAATTTGTTGAACTATGGGCACTTTATAACACTAGTGCTATATTTGTTGAAAAGAACTTTATCAATTAAGGGAAGGGCAACCATCAATGGGCCAAGCAGGAAATTGTAAAAGTAGGCTGCATTGCTAAGTAACGGTTGCTGTTATTTTTAACTGCCATTCAACCAATATAATTTCTTCAGAACAAAATATGCTGGTTTACTGTAAAAGTATTTTGAATAGCTGTTATTCTCTACAAATACAAATGTTCATCTTTTATGATTCAGAGTCTATGGTACTGGACTCCAAAATTCTCTTTATACAAAGACCTTTTGGCTCTCGTCCCCCAGAAGCAAACCTCAGGGCCACCACTATAAGAGAACAGCAGCAGCAGCCTCTTTTCTCCCCTATCCATGACTCCTGTGGATCCCACAGACCATGCTCCCTGGCCTTCCCTCCCTGTTTATCACTGTGTTCCATCTCCCAAATTGGGCAGATACCCTCTGCTTAACCACAGGCCAAGCCTGCCAGAAGACTAGGTAGGTTGTCTTCATCTCCTCTCTACTGTCTTTGTTCACCCAAACCTAAACCTCAGGGTCATCCCCAGCACTGCAACTGAGCACCAGCTGCAGCCTCACCTCTCCCCTGTCCACACCTCCTGTGGATCCCACAGACAGTCCCCTCTAGCTTCCCCTTCCCTTCTTGTTGCTATGTTCCATCCCCCAGCTCAGGCTGATCCTACCACAGCAGGCCCTGAACACATAGCTGAAGCACACACACACACACACACACACACACACACACACACACACACACACACACAAAGACCTTAAAACCAGCTATATGAAGATGATTGAGGTCCTTAAAAAGGAAATGAATAAATCCCTTAAAGAAATTCAAGAATCGGGCCTGGCTTAAGGAATGCACAGGCCTTCCTGGTGCAGTCAGCTCATGTGGGTAAAAGACACCCATGGGCCAGCCTGGGTCCTCAGAGTCTTGGCTGCCTGAAGGCACCCACAGGTGCCATTATGATCAGCAGATATATGGTGGAGAAATGGGAGAGAAAGAGAAGCAGAACAGCTCATGAGCTGTGGAAAGAGGCAGAACTGAACTGAAGAAACAAAGTAGTGAGGAACAGGCTAATGTGGGTGGCCTGTTTGCCACCTGGGGCCAGGGTGACATCTGGACCTGAGCTGCTGCCTAAGGCCATGTCTGGGTCCATGGTCCTACCACAGCCACACTTTTTGTTGACATCTGTGACCCATGTTGCCACCAAAGACTGTGAAAATACCTGAGTTCCAGGCCATCACTTGAGGCCAGTTGGGTGTCTGAGGGTCATGCTGCAGTCAGAGATATACACATCTGAGTGGCCTGCATTGCCACAAAGTGCCATTGTGATAGCCAGGCCTGAGCTGCAGCTGAGAGCCATGCCTGGGTCTGTGGCCCTACCATAACCAGGGTCTCTATTGATGTCCAAGTCTCTTGATATCATCAAAGGCCATGCTGATGCCGGCCGGGGATCTGGGCTGCCACCTGGAGCCATGTTGGTGTCCAAGGAACATGAAGCTACTGGGGCCATGAGGATTTGAGTGGTTTGCACAGCCTCCTGGAGACATGGTGATATCTGAGCCTGACCTGATGCTGCGAACCATGTCTGGGTCTGTAGTCCTACCACAACTGGGGTCTGTGTTAATGTTCATGGCTCATGTTGTCAACAAAAGCCATACAGATGCCTGGGGTCTGGGCCTCAACTGGCTGCCGTGGGATATCTTTCTGTATGCTGTGATAAATAAAGCTGCATTGGCCTATGGCAGGGCAGGATGGAACCAGGCAGGAAAATCCAAGAAAGATAGTGGGAGGAGAAAGAAGAGTAAAGCAGACACTGCCGGCCACTGCCAGGAGAAGCAAGATGTAAAGTACTGGTAAGCAACAAGGCATGGTTTTATAGAAATGGGTTAATTTAAGATATAAGAGCT